GTTATTGTTTGTGGGTTCAGTCACCCTTAGATTTGTTCGAGACTGTTGGTAAGCCCTGGATATCTATCTGTCCCACAAGCGAGATTCACTGTCTTTCTGTATATTGTCAGATACGTTCTGGTTACCATAGTTTTCATAATGACTAGATAGTCTGCAGAAACAACTTTTATTGCTGATTTTAGAGGATATGGATGATCTTTGGTACTTAGCAGTCATCCTCCCTTTCATCAGCACAGCAAATAGTTGCTTACGTTTCGGAGTTTGGCCCAAACATAATGTATACAGTGCTTTGGCGCTTGGCATCCTTACAATTGTCAGGCAACATATCTCCATGGCTTCCTTTGTTTCAATAATCACATTAAAGATGGACACATTAACTCTTGGTAACAGTGAAGAACAAAGTTATGGTTCACTGAAGAAAGAAACTGAAGGTATAGCAACCTCCAGCACAGCTTTGGGTATTCAAGAAAAGTAATTGGAGCTGCTTCAACATCTTGTCCCAGATAGAGAGATGACTCAAAATATGTAAATCTGGAGGGGATGGTCCATGTCCATTGGCATTGATACAGGAGTCACATTGGTTTAACAAATTTAATTGAACAATGTCTTTATCCTGAAGGTGCATCCAACGAGCTTAATTACCAACATAACCTCTACCAAGTCCTTCAACTCATCACACTTGCGCGGTTTGTAGTGAAACGGTTTACGTTTTTCTTTAATTCTACGTTGACTTCATTATGATTTCGTGTTAAAAAATTCGTGCTGCAGTAATTCAAGCAGACCACTGTATGTCTCTTAAAAGTAAAATAATACTTTAATTCTATTATCACTTACATGATTGCTGACATGTATTAGCTGAGTACCGTTTTCCCTCTGAGCTAAGTAGCCAGTTCTCAGGTATAGCGAGAAAGCTCTCCACATGGCACTTTTAAAGAGTGGCACTAAAACATGAAGATTTTGTAAACCATTAACAAAAGTTTACAATTAAATCACTGCAATGGAATTCTCATAATAATGAAAACATGTTGAATACAGATCAACTATGCTCTTGCTCGGCTTGTCGATGACTTCACACATTGCGAACTCTTCTATTGACTTTTGTGGGCATAGCAGTGACCAGAGCGTGATTTGCACTTCATTACATTCCCATCTCCATGTGTTCAAGAAGGGAAAGATAGAGTATTAAGCTAAGATATACTCTATTTTTTATAACTCACAAACTCGAAAGAGTGATACGTATGGGAATATTCATAAATTTTCAAACACTAATTTTGTTCACTTTTCTATTCTGTAACCACTAAAGTTATATTTTCAGTGCTGTCTTTTACATATTCTGACTCGTGGTTTTCTAATTGTATAGGCAGTGTTTACATCTTTTCTTTTGTTCTCTCAGACATAGGTGCTTGGATCAACTTGTATATTTCAATCAACGTGATTTTATCATACATAGTTATGCACACATACAAACACGGGCCGGGCTGCGTATAGCGAAGTCCAAGGTTCCAGTTCACAACATGTCACTGATAACAAGAGTGATAACCAATCTGCTATTCCGTTAGGATCATCTGTGTAGGCAGCAACGTGATTTTATCATACATAATTATGCACACATACAAACTCGGATTTTGGTTAATAGTAGAATTTAGCAAAGAAGAAAACCTTAAACCTTAGTGTTTCAGACCTGGCCGTTTAGCTATGTTAGGTACATAAGATGCCGTTTAAGTTGGGAATACAATACAGTACCAAAGAAAAGGTACGGTAAATCGTTAATCAAAAGTAGCGTAAAATGTTTTCAAATTAAGTTTAAAATGTTATAATGTATGTCTTTAATTTATATAAAACTAAATCTTTAATAGTTTTATTTCAACTAGTTTGTAATATTATATTGTATGCACAAATTTCTTGTTATATGTACTTCCAAATTAGTGTTTTGTGTGTCACTTTGTTTTTGGTTTTATTACTTTTCGTGAAGTTAATTGCAGAATACCAAAAAGAAAAGCTCTTACCAGTACCACTGTTACACTCCTAACCAAAACAGACTATCGTCTATAATTTCATCCATCAGTAAGTACTAGGCTATATTTTGATACTTGCTACGATTCTAATAAAAATATTTTTTTTCCTAATTTACATACAAAACAAATTTCGTGACAAACCTCAGCTGAGTATTCAGGTCTTGGGTTCGCCTGCCACAGTGTTACAGAATTTGGTATATCTACTGACCAAGGAGAGTCGTTTTTTGGTACAGTGTCAAGAGTGTCATCTTCGGTGGGCTGAAAGGAAACGTTTCACTATAACATCAAGGCAGTATTAACAGGACAAGCAGAATTAAAATGTGTTAAACGCAACAGAACTGCCTCTTCCTTTAAGACTAGATGGATCTGTTTAATGAGTAAAATATATTAAACCACAACATGTACCAACTATTACCACTTATTTATCCAGTTGTATACATTTTCAATTCAACAAACAATTTTCGATATTGGTAAACATTGTAACTTCAAAAGAAACTTAATAATATCTTTAAAATACTCAAAACAATGTTAAAATCGTTGACTTATCTTTTGTTTCTGACTGACTGCTTTTGTTATGTCTGGTTTCCGTAAAATATTACCCTATATTAGCAATTATGATTTAGGCCTAAGTAGAGAACTATTATGAATCCTTTTTCAGCAGAGAATTGAATTAATTTTAGTGGTTTCTGTAATTTTTTTACTGCTTTATATTTCACAATATTGTAGAGGCTCAGAGAACGAGTGGCAATATTTCTATCAATTAATTAACAATTAAGAAATCAGTAATATCTTCAAGGTACTTTGACGCTTCTTTCGCCTAGTCATAGTGAAAAATGTTTTCCTCATGTTAGGTTTAGTGTTTTAAATAATTCTATTGGGTTAGATCGATAAGAGGATGCCATTCTCAAGGTATAAACCAGGTCTACCCAGTCTTTCCCCTGCTATATCTCGTAACATATCAGTGATCTACTGGTGCTTGATAATATATAAACTAGCATACTTTGCTACACTAAAGAGCGACACAAAGATTTACATACTGCAATACCTTATATCTCAACAAGAAACAACCTACAGTGTAACTTTTAGCTTAAAGCGAAATGTTTATCTACTAACATATGTTCTTCAGTAAGTAATTGATATGTATTTAATTATCCTAACCACGGAAAGACATACTTTCACATCATTGTATTTTATTTTGAAAACGAGAACATATATTTGCGAAATTTCCACTATAAAATGTTTGACTATCTGTTACTCAAATCTTGATTAATATTTTTACCGAAAATTGATCCACCTCTTATAAATAAAATATAAAGACGATTACTAAAATATGTGTGTGCGGGTAGGTCTAAATATACGTTCATTCAGTTGCTACAAATCACAAAACCCATCAGAATATACTTATAGAACAATTCGAAATTTTTCATTGGTTTTATCTTTTGTATGTCTAGATAAAACAAACACACTTACCATAGGCTGTAAATCAAGGGAGTCAGAGCTGACTCCACCACCACTACTGGTAAATGATCTAGTGAAACTATTAAATTTGTCAACCATTCTTTTGGGAGTATGACCTGGGCTGCCTGTTGGAGAAGTGCTAAAAAAAGAAGTGTTTTGAGCACTTGCTGGCTCTGCCTGATCAGGAAGACGTAGTTTGTTGGGAAATGTGCGAACATATTCTTCGTAAGCTTCAACATCAGCACTCTTTAAAAATTCTGACCACTTCCCGTATAAGAAACGAAGTTTTGCTTTCCTACAGAATGATTAATAATATAGACATATGGTCAATGCAAAATAGCGGTTTTATGGGGTTTATACTAGGTTTTCGTAGACAGATAACATAAAACATAAATAAAGACGGAAAAAATAATCCAAAAGAATAATTTCAAAATAAGATTTGCAACCGAGACATGTTAATTTTGTTAAAAATCAACTTGTAGGTGCGTATGTTGAAGATTTTGTATTGGAAAAGAAGTTAAAGGTGCAGGTACAAGCCTATTAACTCAATAAATTATTGAAACAAAATCTCTTTAGTTTTCTACGCCTAACAGTTACAATATTTCCAGTCCATATTGTATTTTTCTACTTGAGAAAAAATTTATTCAAGATTAAACAACGTGTTCTATCCTATTTCATAAGTTTTCATATTCAAGCAATGATTTACGAAGAAAATAACAAGCTAATTACCTATTATCCATCGTACTTATAAAATTTATCCAAACTAATCACTTATATTTATTTCGTATTTATAAATCAAACCAACCAACTATACCCTATCTTCATTCATTAGTTAACAACAAATACCATTTTTTATTTGAGTGAAGAAATTATCAAGTGATAACCATTCAATACCGAAAAAAGGAGAGCAAATAGTTATGATCGAAGATAAGTTACCAATGATATTATTTTTTATGGTTCATAAAATATTCTGAGTGATAAAACCCTTTCTATTACATCACCTAATGTTTCTACACTTAAATAATTAACACCTCTTTCTGAGAAAGCAAACGCCCTAAGTAAATCATCTATAGGAAAATATTTTAAACAAATCACGCAATCTTTTCTCTATAAGTATTTCACAGTAATCACCTTTCTTCCTATTATTACCACGTTATTTTTGAAATGTAATAAAACGTATTCATAGCGTCGAGACTTTTCTCTTCCTCTATATTTCAAATGTTTGTTTGTTGAATTTTACACAAAGCTATTAGAGGACTATCTGGGCTAGCCGTCCCTAATTTTGAAATGATATACTAGAAGGAAGACACACAGTCAACACCATCCACAGTCAATTCTTGGGCTACTCTTTACCAACAAACAGTGGAATTGATGGTCACATAATAACGCCTCCACGGCTGAAAGGGTGAGCATGATTGGGGAAGGATTCCCTTCCCGCGACCCACAGATTGTGAGTCGAGTCAGCTAACCAACAGGCAATGCCAGGCCTTAATTCAAAATGACATACAGTAGTATAGATTTAAAACTAGCTTACTAAAACGGGAAGCATTTGTAAGCACAATCTAATTACTTTTAAGGCCCATCAACTCAAAGTTATTGGCGACGTAAAAAAGCATGTTATATTTATTAGTAACGAGAAAATCAAAAAAGTTACAAGAATGACCAATAGCGGCATCTTTCTACAACAGTTGCGACTTGTAATACAAAACTGCAATTTCCATTTTTAGCTCAGAAAATTTAGTTTCTCAAAAAACTTTCCAAAATTCCTGTCAACGAATAAAAGACTTACTGTTTGTTACATACGAAGCCTTCTATCCGATGTGCATCTTTACTAAGCCTACCAGCTGGTTTGAAATGTAGAACGGCATCGAGTCCAGTATCGTGTCCAACCAACTCTAATACACCATACTAGAAAACGTTAAAAAACATATTACAAAATCAATGTGACAGTTGATAATTAACATGGCTAAATCCAAGTTATATATTAACATTCCAGAAGTTGACCTATTAAGTTACCAGCACACAAGTCAGTTTTTATCAAATTCCCAAACTAAAAGTTAAGTATTAATTAAAGAAAAAAGTAAAGTCCGTTAATATTTCTTAAATTGTTTTTTCAACGACATAATTACTTGTGAATGAATAAATAATAAGATTATTCAAATAAATATTTTAGAAATTAATCGTAACGAGTAAGCTATATGTTTGTTTTTGTTTTTAATTATGCACAAAGCTACACAAGGGCTATCTTTGCTCTGCCCACCACGGGTATCGAAACCCGGTTTCTAGCGTTGTACGTCCGCAGACATACCGCTGTGCCACTGGGGGGCAGTAAGCTATATGAAGGCGAAGCTGGTTTTTAGAAATATCCAAAGATTATTATGACCTTTTCTGTATATTATTCGATTATTATGACATTTTTTGTATGTTATTCGAAGTCTTTTGAAATAAATATAAATTTTGCTTTCTGTTTAAGCAGTTAGGTTACAAATAAAAACTATATTATTAAAATATCTTTATTTTTTCTACATTTGAATTTACATATAATTGCTAAGGCACAAAAAGCATAGTTTTGTTTGAATTTTACTTATTTATAAAAAAAGTGAAATAACATTTTACTTAACTATAGTGTCTTTCTTTTGCAGTAGGACTTTCATTCTTCTTATATACCTGGACATTTTAGTTCTTGAGTCTTTATTTCTCGCAAACACTTTTGTTTTGTCAATCTTTTAAACATGACTCGATTAAACACCTACAATATTTCACTTATCTAGATGATTTCTGGTTAATTTATTAAAGCAAGAAATGTTGATTGTTAAATATAGGTCAATATTGCATTATGTTCAGTATGTGCCAGTCTTATGAGAAAACCCCTTAACCCACTTCTAAAGTCGTTTGAAATGTTTTCTTTAAGATTCGTTTTAACTACGCTTTGCACAAATTTGAATTTCAATTAACTGACTGATGAATAAGAAAAGCTAATAAATATTGCATTTTCCGTGCATAAACTTAAGATGTTAAAACCTCTTTATTACACTACTAGGAATTCTACACTTATGGATTTTCTTTCGCCTATTTTACTTAAGTGTCACAGCTTGACATTTATTAGTAACTGGAATAAAAGATGTTCAATATAATAAGAAATGTAAATACAAAGAAACGGTATAAAAGATTGTCAGGGAAAAAGAATAATACAATCAACGCTTCGGCGAATCGTGTTTAATCATATAATTAAACCAAATTAACTATAAAGAAGTTCATAAGAAATGTAATCCTATAAGGTTTTAAAATATTCTAAATTAAATTTTCCATGTGCAAAGCTCATTAAAGACTTCCTAGACTTGTTTGCAAGTTGCTCAAATATAGACTAAATCAACTGCGAAAGATTTATAAGGGTTCCTTTTAATCTTGTCAACGTCAAATTACAATAAATGAGAGATTTTTTAAGGAGTGTGTACATACTGTGTAACTAGTTCTAACAGCTAATGTAAATCACTAGAAATCTAAGTTTTTATTGGAAAAAATTATAAATAATTTTTCATGAATTTCAACACATTATTCTAAATTGACTTATTTTGAGATAAATTACCAGTCATGATTCATATTCTATTATTACTTGATTTAAATATAAAAAACACAGTTAATAGGGATTGGATTAAAGAAAACCAATTCTTTTTTGATCATTCAGTAGAGTCATGTTCATTGAATAACTAATGTAAGAGAACTAGAACCTAAATTCTCTTAAATTTTTCAGAATTTAGAAAAATTAACATTTATTACGTACCTGCTCAAACCACAATTTTCCTGCTATTATGTTGTGAACACGACAACTGACATTGGTCCAAGTATAGATTTCTTTGTGTCTATAAGGAATTCATATTAACAAAATTATGCTTCGCTTATGTTTAATTTTATACCAGTAATGAAAAATTACGAATGTTAAGTTACTTGTTATTTGTGAAGTATTTCATATGAATATGTAATAATTCCAAAATAATAAATCTTAATGATAATCGTAAATGCTAGAAATGATAGATTTTAGGTTTTCTAAAATGGAGCAGAACAAGTTTATGTATTCAAAAGTTTTAATACATAATTTTCAGAATTCAGAAAACCTAACATTACATTTCACCCTACTTAAATTCCAATTTTGAAAAAGGAAAATATGTCTCTTCTGTCCATTATATTTAATTACAAAGAAATTAAAAAGCATTAGTGCAATATAATTAATACACTAGCGTTTCATCCAGCGACTCGACCCAAATGTCTTAATATGGAATAGCCAGAATAACCATTTCATTCTACAGCTCCTTGATGTCTTATAATTAACACACTAGCGCTTCATCCAGCGACTCGACCCAAATGTCTTAATATGGAATAGCCAGAATAACCATTTCATTCTACAGCTCCTTGATGTCTTATAATTAACCCACTAGCGCTTCATCCAGCGACTTGACCCAAATGTCTTCATATGGAATAGCCAGAATAACCATTTCATTCTACAGCTCCTTGATGTAAACGATGGTTGAACAAATATGTTGTGGAAGCAACTTGTGTACACGTGAATTGTGCCAATTTTCCAGACAAAAACCCTTCTTGATTATATTGTGTATCATTTCCTGAGAAACTTGGATGGCTTTTGATACTGACATTTGTGTTCGTGGATTTTCATATGTTACAAGATGTTGCACTTTGCTTACCAAGGCTGGGTTAGACTTGTTGCAAGTCTCTTACTGGGTGGCCCTGGTTTTCCCAGTTGATCCATATTCCCATGATATGTAGAAATACAAAGTGTTTTCCACCTTTTACTTAATATATAATTTTCAGTATTTTTCCACATATATGGTTAATATAGAATGTCATCCAAGAAGCCATAAGTTCTTCTCATCATGGATACCTAGTAAATCTTAGTCATCAACTAGTGTGTCACAAGCATTTTCTCGTGGGAAAGATTTTGCTACCATAAAAGATACTGTTAGAAATAGACAGTAATAGTTTCCACTGACAAGTCAGATGATGCCTCAAGGATACAACATTACTTATTTTGTAGTAAGAGTGACAATCAGTGGCATGAGCAATACTTACATGCAGAGAAAATTGAGAATTTCTTTTTTCTTATATAATACCATGTTTTCTCAGCTTAAAACTGATTAAGATTTGAGATAGAGAAATATTAAGATTAAATTGAGATTTAAGATTTCTATTAGATTGATATAAGATTATTTAAAAGATTGAGATACAATATTTAAGGTTCATTAGATTCAGATTCAAGATTTGTGATTAACTTGATATAAGAGCTCTCCAGTAAAGTGCCATCAAGATAGAGCAGATGCCATGGGGGAACTTTGCTCACCTAATTTAGGCAAGTTTCAGATGCCAAATTGATATAAAAAATCTACGGTAAATTCAAATCAAAAACTAAAATTAAATTAAATTAGATTAAAGCTGAATATTATAAAAATACTAAGCAGCTCAGATGTAAAGGTTTCTAATGCCTTAATGATACTTAATAATTGAAAACAATCCAGGAAAGCTACATTTGTGTCAATGTTTAATAATAATGTGTTATCACATGATTCATTAATTGATGCACAGTGAGAGGTTACAGTAGTGAATATGATTTAATTATTTGGACCATTTTTTCCAAAATCTGCTCCCCCTAAATAAGTGGATGACCCTCCATAGTGCACATGCTATCTCCAGGAGTACCACAAGACACTTGTTTTTTTTAAACATTGATTGTTGTTTGTCGGAAATACAGATTGTTCCACTGTGTTTACCTTGTGTCTAGTTCAGTCTCTTTCTTTGCTTCAGTCTTAGTCAAGGTGAAATGATTCAGATTCTCATTCCACAAAATATATACCGGCCAGCTTCCTGTTACTGTGTAGCTCCTACTCGATCATTCTAAGGGAATTCAGTGAAACTGGGGATACTGCATTCCTTTGTTTTGAAATTTCATTAAGTACAAGGGATATCCTCGTCTTTAAAATTCTAAATCTCCGATCTGAAAATGTCTTTATGACCTGAGTGTACAAGTATCTTGCATCAGAAAAGGCTATCACATACACTTCCGAAAAGTGATCACTTTTCACTGATATTGCATTACCTGTGAAATGCAAAAACCATGTAAAAATGTAGTTCTGATACAATCCATTCCATAAGCTGTGATTTTCACGTGACTTGCTGATTTGCATATCCAAAATTGTTGTAGTATAATGTACTAAACCATTTGTATAAGATGCATGTATATATTTATTTAGATTTAATTTTATGGAGAAAAATAAAAAAATGCAGCCATAAAACAAGCATTCAACATTGGGGAACAAACCATCATGTAGGTCAATATGTAATATGCCCTGGTTTTTTGAGATACCGGTGGAAGTAAGACATTATTTATATCATTTATTAAGTGTTGCATTTCTAGCTAACACAAACGAGCTCATGTACTAGGCGAAAGGTCTCGTTATAGCTGTGTGCGCCGCAAAATGTGTGAGTCCAAATGCTGTTATGTTTCTCCTCGTTGGAAACCTGTAGTAAAGGGTTGGTAAATAAAAATAGTAATGACGAGGGATATTCTTCTTCTGAAGAAAATGAAATTTAAAGGTCCTTTCCAAGACCATCACATCCTGAGAAAGAGAAAGCTATGATTGCACATATCACCTCAACTGATGAAAACGTTTATCACTTCTAATATTTACAATAGACATCAGCATTATTCTATTATCTGATCTTTTAAGTTTTATATTTATCTTCCTTAGCACGACTAACTCTGTTAATGCTGTTGATGTATATGAATTTTCAAGTACGTCTAAATAAATATAAGACTGTGTCTCGTCTATATTTTAGTAACTTTCTTAAATGTTCATTTGTTTTTCTCTCAAGTTTATCATAAAAGGTTAAACTAGACACATAATTATCTAACCTTCGGTCTCAGTCAGGCTTCGAGTGTACTTGTTCAACATCTGTTACATTTGAGACTGAACACTGATTGTAACTGACAAAATGAATAATAAAGTTTGATGTTCATTGCTTAATTGTAAAAATTAATACATTACATGTTAACGTAATATTGTTTCAAAATCTATATTAAAATGTCTCATGATGAATTCAGTGTTTGTTTACAAACAATGTTACACAAAAGAAAAATATAAACTCTAACTGAAATAGTAATATGAACGTAATGTAAAAAGGTTATATGAAAGTTAATTCAGTATGTTATAAATTAAGATGTTTACTTAAATAGTATATTAGTGTATTTTGAAGTTTTGTTAATAAATGCTTCATTATGCTTATCAAGTCTGTGATTTTACATTGTTGTTATAAAGTATATTTTGTAATGACAAGTAGTAAACGTGATGTACTTATGTAATATGAAAGAACCGTCTTTTCTTGTAGACCATATCTTTTATTTTAAGAAGCAACAAAATTGAAATATTGTGTCAAGAACTTTTGGAGATTTTGTTCTTAAAAGCTTCAGAAGTAGAATGTATGCATATTATTTGTGATAAATCGTAAATAAAGTCGTCTTTTATATATTGAAGTTTTGTTTATAAATGTTTTAGTACGTTTGTTAAATGTGTGATCTTACTTATATATATTAATGATAGCATTTTGGGCTAGGATGAAACATGAATTTTATACAAGAAATATAAAAGAAGAGTTGTATTAGATGTTCAAACATACTTGTTGGAAACTGTTATTCGTGGGGTGTAATTTATCATAAAAGACTAAGCTAGACATGTAATTATCTGAAATTTGATATTTAGTCTGAACACTGATTTGTAACTGACGATTTATATAATTTTCAAGTGAAAAGATAATACATGTTACCATAATATTTCAAAATCTATCTGACGAAAATATGAAAAATTACAAAAACGTCAAAATATGATCATCAATAACAATTTTTTATCATAGCATAAGAATCAGAAGCTTGTTAATATTTAAAAAAATAACAAAATTAGACTTTGCAAAATTCAAGATCTAAAGTAAGCAAAACTAACTTTCATGAATTAGGAGAAAAAGAATGCATTTAAAGGAGTGCGATGTACAAACACATGTGTAAGTAATGAAGGATATATAAAGTCCAGATGGTATATGTCCTGTTATAACTAGCTAGCATATATAAAATATTTTTGATGTAAAGTATGATTCGTATGGTTGAAATACAAAAATTTCACACTATCGTTTATAAACTAAGTTCATTCGTGTGTGAAATTGTATCTTGGTCAACTAATAAGTTTAATTGTTATGGTGTACATAAACTGATTTTGAAAATTTAACAGAAACGGATATAGAATTTCTGAGTTGTCAGCAAATTTTTAAACAAAGATATGTTTGAAAGTGTCATGACTTTAGTACGATATATTCTCGTACATATCATTACAAACTAGTAATATATGTATACTAGCTGGAGTAC